GAGGTGGGAGCCGGGTGACGCCGCCGAGCTCCGGCTCTCGCCCGAGCTCCTCAGCCACCCCCGGTGCAGGGGACGTCCGTGGGGACGTCTCCCACCTCCGTGGGGACGTGTCCCACCTCCATGGGGACGTGGCTCTGGTCCTTGGGGACGTGGCTCTGGCTCTTGGGGATGTGTCCCACCTCCACGGGGTCTTGGCTCTGGTCCTTGAGGTGACATCTCCGGACCTTGGGGACATGTCCCATCTCCATGGGGATGTGGCTCTGGACCTTGGGGACGTGTCCCAGCTCCATGGGGACGTGTCCCTGGTCCTTGAGGTGACATCTCCGTTCCTTGGGGATGTGTCCCACCTCCATGAGGACTTGGCTCTGGACCTTGGGGATGTGTCCCAACCACTTGAGGAGGTGGCTCCGGACCTTGGGGACGTGTCCCAACTCCATGGGGACTTGGCTCTGGACCTTGAGGACGTGTCCCTGGTCCTTGAGGTGACATACCTGGCCCCTGGGGACGTGTCCCACCTTCATGGGGACGTGGCTCCTGTCCTTGGGGACATGTCCCTGGCTCTTGAGGACATGCCCCAGCTCCATGGGGACGGGGACCACCACCATGGGGATGTGTCCCCGGTCCTTGGGGACTTGGCTCCGGTCCTTGGGGACGTGTCCCTGGCTCTTGGGGACGTGTCCCAACCTCTTGAGGTGGCTCTGGTCCCTGGGGACTTGTCCCACCTCCATGGGGACGTGGCCCTGGTCCTTGAGGTGACATCTCCAGTCCTTGGGGATGTGACCCTGGCTCTTGGGGACGTGTCCTTGGTCCTTGAGGTGACATCTCCGGTCCTTGGGGACATGACCCACCTCCATGGGGACGTGGCTCTGGTCCCTGGGGACATGTCCCTGGTCCTTGAGGTGACACCCCTGGTCCTTGGGGACGTGTCCCACCTCCCTTGTGGACGTGGCCCTGGTCCTTGAGGTGACATCTTTGGTCCTTTGGGACGTGTCCCACCTCCATGGGGACGTGTCCCTGGTCCTTCAGGTGCCACCCCTGGTCCTTGGGGACGTCCTTCAGGTCCCCCAGCCCACGTCCCCAAGAGCTGGAGCCACGTCCCCAGTCGGTGGGGCGATGTCCTCAAGCCCGGGGGTG